TCAGATCTTACATTTAAGTTTTTAATTCATTTTTTATTTGATTATTGCATATGATGAGAAATAAGGGTCTAGTTTGATTCTTCTCCATATGTATAAGCAGTTTTCCCAGCACCACTTATTGAAGAGGCTATGCTTTCCTCAATATATGTTCTTGGCACCTTTTTCAAAAATTGGTTGACTGTAAATATGTGGATTTATTTCTGGATTATCTATTCTGTTCCATTGGTCTGTAGTCTACTTTTATGCCAGTACCATGCTGTTTTGGTTATTATAGCTTTGTAGTATAGTTTGAAGTCAAGTAATGTGATGTCTCCAACTTTGCTCTTTTTGCTCAGGATTGCTTTAGCAATTTAGGGCCTTTTGTGGTTTCATTCAAATTTTATGATTACTTTTTCTATTATTTGAAGAATGTCACTGGTATTTTGATAATGATTACATTAAATCTGTAGATTGGTTTGGGGAGTGTGTTCATTTTCAAAATATTAATTCTTCCAATTATAAATATTGGATATCTTTCCATTTTTCTACATCCTTTCCATTCTTTCATCAGTGTTTTATAATTTCCATTGTAGAGATCTTTCCTTTGTTAAACGTATTTCTAGGTGTTTTATTTATTTATTTATTTGTAACTGTTTTAAACGGGATTGCTTTTTAGCTAGTTTATTACTGGTGTATAGAGATGCTATGTTTTTTTGTTTTTTTTTTTTTTTTGTATAATGATTTTTTATCCTGCAACTTTACTGAATTTATCTATCAGTTCTACCAGTCTTTTGGTGGAGTATTTAGATCTTTCTATATATAAGATCCTGTCGTCTAAGGATCTGAATACACATTTATCAAAAGAAGACACATATATGATTAAAAAGTATATGAAAAAATGCTCAGTATCACTAATAATCAGAGAAATATAAATCAAAATCACAATGAGATATCATCTCACCCTAGTTAGAATGGCTACTATGAAAAAGACAAAAAATAACAAACATCGGTGAGATTGCAGAGAAAAAGGAAGTCTTGCACACTATTGGTGGGAATGTAAATTAGTACAACAATTATGGAAACCAGTACAAAAGTGCCTCAAAAAACTAAAAACAGAAATGCTGTATGATTCAGGAATCGTACTGCTGGATTTTTACCCAAAGGAAAGAAAATCTGTATATCAAAGAGATATCTCCACCTTCTTGTTTATTTGCAGCACTATTCACAGTGGCCAATGTATAGAATCAGCTTGTGTTCATCAACAGATAAATAGGTAAGTAAAACATATTACATATATATTATATTATATGTAATATGTTTTATATGTTTTTATATGTTTTATGTTTTATAACATATAACATATATGTTTTTATATGTTTATATGTTTTATATATAATATATACACACACACACACAAAATGGGATATTAGTCAGCCATAAAGAAGGATGGAATCTCGTCATTCGCAGGAACATGGATAAGCTGGGAGGACATTATGTTAGGAAAAATAAGTCAGGCACAGAAGGATAAATATTATATGTTCTCACTCATATATGGGAGCCAAAAACGTTGAGCTCATGAAAGTAGAAAGTAGAATTGTAGTTCTTTGAGGGTAGGAAGAGTAGGAGGAAGGGGAGAATAGGGAAAGTTTGGTTAATGGACACAAAATTACAGATAGATAGAAGGATAAGTTCTGGTGTTCTATAGCATTGTAGGGTGACTGTAGTTAATAAAAATCTATGGTATATTTTCAAATAGCTAGAAGAGAGAATTTTAAATGTTCCTAACACAAAGAAATGATAAATCTTTGAGGTGATGGATATGCTAATTACTCTGATTTGATCATTACACATCGTATATATGTGTGAAATATTCCTGTGTCCCCAATAAATATGTACAATTATGACATGTCAATTTTATGTGTTTAATTAACTAATTCATTAATTAACTTTAAAAATGAGGAAATGGAAGCTCTGAGAGAGTAAGCAACTTGCCCAAGATCACACAAGTTGGGAAGGGGCAGGACCTAAAATCTACCTTCAACTACTATCCTCCTTTTGCCAAAAAAAAACCCAAAAAAGACAGGCGAGGCCCCAGGGAACTTCAGCCTGAGCCTGCCCCTGAATGCCCATCCTGGCTCCTGGCCCACAGCTGCCTTCTCAGGCAAGTTTCCCTCTCTGACTGTGACCCAGTTTCTTAATGTGCAAAAAGGAGAAAATGTGACGTCCCCTTCCTAGTGCACAAGGTTGTGATGAGGACCAGATCAATCACAGACACAGACATCTGTCAATTGTAAAATATTGTCTGGTGGGGCTATAGTCTCTGCACTTGTGTCTGAATGAGAAGATACTCCCTGTGGTTGGCCCCTGATGATATCAAAGGCAAAGGTCACAATCTTCCAGTCAATCTAGCCCAACAACCCAGTTAATCAATTCCACCTCAGACGTACTTCCTTGTGTTTACCTTTCTCTGGGAACATCAGTCCAGCCTAATTCCCAACCCCTGCCAGACCTGTTCTCCCCCAGCTGAGGCCACCAGATCGGTGCCTGCAGGCCAGCTCCCTCTCTGCTGGGCTGGCCCTAACCGAATGCCCAGTGTGGGAAATGGAATCCTTATCCTGTTCCACCTCTTTGGAACTAGAAACTGTCTTGTTCTCGGCAGAACTCCGCCTCATTGCGGGGCCTGGGATCTGGCCAGAGGCAGGAGCCTGAAACCTGATGCTGCTCCCCAGCTTGGACTTCTGAGAATCATCCAGGCCCGAGAATTTCTGGCCACCGAATCCTGTCCACTGCCCTCTCTGTAGCCTGAGGCTGACCACCTGCTTAGACAGTCCCCTTTTCTTAAAAGCACACACCTACCTGCTCCTGTGTGCTCCTCCCCAGGCTACCCATCCTCCAGCAGCCTCAGCTGGGCTCCCCCACCCCCTGTGGAACACCTGGACATCCACCAGTGCCTACCCCCTCCACAGCCTTTTTTTTTTTTTTTTTCTACATCCTTCTTCCATATGTACACATTTCCCAAGATTTCACACTGATGCAAATTCTCTTTTCTGCATATTCTGTCCTTTGGCAATCTCACCCACTTCTGGGGTTTCAAGTAGAAGCCTAGGAGGAAGAGGCCCATGGATATAAGGGTCATTTTCAAGTTAAAATCATCAGAGCCCAAGACTAATGGGCAGGAGAGGGAGGAGGGAAGGTGGAAATTGAGAAAAAGGCTGAGCCCGGAGGAAGCTGGCCCCTCCCCACAGCTGCTGAGGGAAAGGCCCAGGCTCAGTCATCTCTGAATCCTCCCAGCCCTGGGTGCACTGCCAGGTACAGATGGGTACAGAGTCTTTGCTGGATTAATGAGTGAATAAATGAATGGCTGAATAAACAAGTTGCTACCTCCCTCTTTGGATCCTATCACGTTTTCTGAAGCTGTCCTCTCTCCTGATATGGGGCATACACGAGGCCAGGAGAAGGGGCTACTTAAAGCCAACCGAGTCCAGGGAGAAACCCCCGGATTTCCTGCAAGATTTGCACAGGAACGTGTTGCAAGGTGTTTCCTCCAAGAATTCACTGAGTCCCTTCAGGAGACCAAGAGAGAACAGAACGGGCCCCCAGACTTTGGAACCGCACCCGGTTCCTACTGTCTTCCTAGGAGACCTTGGGTCCCTTTTTATTTTCTACTCAGCAACACTATCGCCTAGGTTTACGGACAGGACTGCGTTGAGCAAGAGTTGACCTTTATTGTCTTAATTTAATCCTCCCAAAGACCTTCTGAGATAGGTACTATTATTTTCTCCATTTTACAGATAAGGAAATTGATGTTTAAGTATGATCCCACAGCTAATAAATGTGACAGAACTGGGTTTTTTTTTCTTCCTACTGGAATGGTATTATTTCATCAGAATTTGCCCACATGCTCAGCACTGCTGGAATGTGTTATTTTCAAACCTAACAATGAACTACAGAATGGTAAAAGTGGAAGAGGCTTTGAGACAAATTAGTCTAGCCCAGAGTAGGGAAGGAAAAGAGAGGGAGGCTCAGCCTGCAGGCTGCAAACCCTCCCCTCCCCGTTTCTTCTGCTCCTAAAATAAAACGGAACAAAAGACAGGAAAGTCACTAGATTAGAGAATTCAGCATCTCCCTCCTAATTCCCTGTGATGTTAAAATCCTAAGATCCATTTCCTGGAGCAAGAAGCCCAGATCCCTCCGCTGGCTGATGTGGTTTTGAAAGTGGAAGAGGGCAGGAAGTGTTGTGGTCACTCCCCCCCAGCTGTGGGCCTCTTCCCACCGCCCTCCTCGCCAGATGCTGCAAGCTCAGACTGCAGATCCAGGAGCCTGAAACCTTCCTGGGACTGGCTCGCTGTGAAGATAACCCTGTCCTTCAACAAACCCTCGCTTCCTATTTGCATTCCTAATTGGCATCTTCTATTGCTTTTCCTGGTGACTTCATTTTTCACTCTTGGCTAAAAATGGGTCTCTGATGATTTATTCTATCCTGGGTGTCGACAAGCTGAAGAAGTTGTGTGGGGCCTGCCGCCAGGAACCTCGGGGGATGAAGCGTGACTCACCACTCTGGGGTCAGTGGGGGGATGGAAGGCAGGGGAGTCAGCTGACAATATCTGCTGCTTCATCACCAGGCCTTCTGCCCTCTTCCATGAGGCACCTACATTCTAGGAAATGTGAGACGCCCCAGAGCCCTATGAAGGAGACAGGACGGGCAGCCCACAGGTCTGTCACATCCCAAGGCTGATTCTCTGTTTTGTTTCCCACCCCCGGTGCCAAATGCTAAGCTGCGTTTCAGAGAGAGCTCTAAAAGGGAACAAGTATCCAGCCTTCCTTGAATCCCCCAATCATATTTTCACATACACACAAAGGAGCCTCACAGATCATTTAACTCAACCTTCTCATTTTCTGGAAAAGAATTTGAGGCCCAGAGAGGTCAAGCAACATGACCAGGGTCATAAAGTGAATTAGAGGTGGAGCTGGGAATAGAACCTGGGTCTTCTGTCTCCCAGCCCTCTGCTCAGTCTACTCACCACATTATCAGGAGAATTAGACTTGCGCTCCTGAGTGAATGGGGCCAACTCTCTCCTCCATGAATGGGGGCAAGAAGGGCCACCTTTAAGGAGAGATGACTGCTGGAATTTCAGCTCTGCCCTTGGTTCTTCTCAGATGGGTTCTGTGTTTGGCAGACTGTCTCCCCTCTACCTGCGGGGATCCCTGGAGTCCTGGGGATTTGGGGTTAAGATTTCTCTCTCCCAGAAAACACAGATCACTCTGAAGGCAGTTACAAACTGAAGATGATCCACAGATTATTTCTTGGCTAAGACGAGAGTGAGTTGTCTTAAATAAACAAGTATGAGAGTTTACTGCATTCCATCTGGGTGCTCGATGACCCCATGTCCCTTTTTCTCTCTGTTGACTTTCTAAGTAAACAATTTGTTAGCTCAGAGGAGACTCAAATTCATAGAATCAGTAAATGAGAAAGGACTCCAAAGTTCCCCTAGTCTGAACCCCCTATATTCACCCAGAAACCACCTCTACAACATTTCTAGATTGACACGACCCTCAGCTTGAATGCTGAGAAGGACGAACAACGCTTCCTCCCTGAGTGATAGCCCCTTTTTTGCTGGATAGACCTAAGCAATAGGCATCAGTCATTCTGTGATGCCAGTTTTGCCCTTTAGGTGAAAACAAAGCAAGTATTTTCTCTTCTTTGCACCACAACTTGTGTCTTTGCTCATGACTTATAGGACAAGCTAAAACAGACAGAACCATTCTTGACCCTCAAATGCTGAGTGTCCCATTGATAGGCTAGACAGGGCTCTTATTCAGTTTTGTGTTACCACATGATTACCATGAGTCTTTACAAAACCCTTGCCCACCTCCCCTAGAGAAACTGAGTAAGGGAAAATGATGAGTGCCAAACCTGCCCATTTGCTTCTTGCCAGCAATTCCGGTGAAAGGTCTGACTGAGGAAGAGGCAGGACCCATCTGAGGTATTCTATAATTAGCGTCTTTCTTGCTCTCCCGCTTACCATTAAGGTAGACCAGGATATTCATGAAAAATTTCTTATGTGCTATTTCATTCCTTTCGAAAACCACATGTGAATTTCATTCAGTTAAAAAAGTCAGTTCCTTACTAGACACCAGGTAGCATTCTAAAGGATATAATAGTGAATGAAACAGATGAAGCCCTACCCTCATGAAGCTTATGTTTTAGTAAAGAAGGCAACCATCACTAATAGGTAAACATTGTAACATCGAGAACTGATATGCGCTATGAAGGAAAACAAAGCAAGGTGAGGGCAAAAGGTGATGGAGCTGCTATTGGCGAAGGCAGGCCTAGGAGGAGACACTGATTGAACAGAGGCTGGAGTGGAGTAAAGGATTCCTCCTTGGAAATGAACAAGTGCTGTAAGAGGAAATAACTGCAAGAAAACCCTGACTGATGTGCAAACGGGCTCAACTAGAATGAGTTTCAGGCAACTTTTCATAGGTAGATATGATTTTCATGCCAAATTTTGCTGATAGCTGAGAAAATTCAACATGGCATTATCTGCCTTTGAAATTCTTTAGCATTCCAGAAATCAGGTGGGACCATCAGGATATGAACAAAGTGGTCAAACAATCTTATCTTTGTGAAACACTCTCTCACATGTTATCCTTTTTAATGATCACAACCTCACGAGGTGGATATCATTATCCGTAACAATGTTACAGATGAGGAAACTAAGGCTGAAGTAAGTGAAGCATCTAGAGAATGGCAGAGCCAAGACTAATAGAATCTGGTGGTGTGACTCTGGTCACTACATTGGTTTACATAAGTACACAGTTTCTTCACCAAATCACTTAGTGTGGAGAAAAACACAAGAGCATATGGGCTTGTAAATTGAACCTCAAATCTGAAACAATATCCAATATTGGAGATCAATATTTCTCTGGTGGTGTGGCAGTGCACCATTTAGCTCTCTCCAAGAGGAACTGCCAAAGGGGGCAGAGTTGACTGCCAGCCCCAGTTAGCATCCTTGGGGCCTGCCTCCCTATTGGTATCAAGCCACAAGTGGCTGAGCATTGTGGTGGGAACAAGTGCTAGCCCCTTCCTGCTGGACAGAGGCTGCCTCCAACAAGCAGCCTTTGCATTCAGGGACTCCTGTGGACCTGGTTAAGATCCTCTGAGAAATGTGCTGCAGTCTAAGGAGCTCTCCCCAGTTCTTCCTTCCCTCTTTCCTTTCACAGGTGGCGGGTCAGCACACATGGTCTGAAAGCTGTCTGCCACCTCCTGTTTCCACCCCATTATCCTTCACAGTCTTTTCTCCCAACACATCGCTAGCAAAACCAATCTTGTCTTGGCATCTGCTTCTCAGAGGACCCAAATTGACATAATTGCTAATCTAAGTGGTTTTGTTTTTATAAAAAGGTTACACTATTAGTACATTATATCTTTGTCTTTCTGGACTTGAAATCCCAAAAGAAAAAGAAAAAAAAATGCTGCTTCTCAGTTATCAGTGTCAGACGTTTGGCTTCATTAATTGTTGATTTTAGCAAAAACATAAAGGGAATTTCTAAGATTTTGCTAGTGTGAATCAGGGTGAGGTCTTGGCCCGGGTTCCGGTTTTTATTTTAGCAGTTGCCGATCTGCTTTCACGGGTCCTTATGTAAAGCAAACACCTCAACTGTTTCATTACCTGGCTGTGAATTCCAAGCTTAGAGCTAATCTGAGTTGTCAATGCATATTCAAAAGTATCTAAGTAGTCATAGAAGATTGCTGGGAAGAAGTGCTAAAGCCAGTTGTAGGGATTTGGACCGCCACTGCCCAGAAGAAATATAATGTGAGCCACAGAAGTAAATGCAGGCACACCTCACTCTATTGTGCTTTGCCTTATTGTGCTTTGCAGATACTGTTTTGTTTTTTTTTTTTATAAGTAAAGATTTGTGGCAGTCCTGCTCAAGCCCATTGGTACCATTTTGCCAACACCATGTCCTCACTTTGTGCCTCTATGTCACATTTGGGTAATTCTCACAATATTTCAAACTTCTTTATTATTATTATATCTGTTTTGATGATCCATCATCAATGATATATGATGCTACTATCATAATTGTTTTGGGGTGCTACGAACTGCAACCATAGAATACAGTGAACTTCATCAATAAATGTTGTGTGCGTTTTGACTGCTCCACTGACCAGCCATTCCCTGTCTTTCTCCATCTCCTCAGGTCTCCCTATTTCCTAAGGCACAACAATATTGAAATTAGGCCATTTAATAACCCTACAGTAGCCTCTAAGTGTTCAACTGAAAGGAAGTCATACATCTCTCACTTTAAGTCAAAAGCTAAAAACAATTAAGCTTCGTGAGGAAGGCATATCGAAAGCAGAGAAAGACTGAAAACTAGGCCTCTTACACCAGGCAATTATGAATACAAAGGAAAAGTTATTGAAAGAAATTTAAAGTCCTACTCCAGTAAACACATGAATGATAAAAAAGCCTTACTGCTGAGGTAGAAAAAGTTTTAGTGGTCTGGGTAGAAGATCAAACCAGCCACAACATTCCTGTAAGTCAAAGCCTAATCCAGAGCAAGGCCCTCAGCATCAAGACAAGACCCTCCAGCAGCAAGAAGATCACAACTCACTGAAGGCTCAGATGCTCATTAGCATTTTTTAGCAATAAAGTATTTTTAAGTTAAAATATATATATTGTTGTTATTTTAGACATAATGCTATTACACACTTAACACACTATAGTGTAAACATAACTTTTGTGTGCGCTGGGAAACCAAAAATCCACGTCACTCACTTTATTGCAATATTTGCTTGATCGCGATGGCCTGGAACTGAACTCACAATATCTCTAATGTATGCCTGAGTAGCCACATGTGAAAAAGGAAGAGGGCGGCCAGGCATGGTGGTTCACTCCTGTAATCCCAGCACTTTGGGAGCCTGAGGAAGGAAGACTGCTTGAGCCCAGGTGTTTGAGACCAGCCTAGACAACATAGCAAGACCTTGTCTCTAATTTAAAAAATAAAATAAAATAAATTAAAATTTTAAAAATGGAAAACAAAATAGATAAACTTCATTTTAATAATCTAATTATTACAATTGTAATAATTAATTTTCATGATGGTTTATTTAACCCAGCACGTCAAAAATATTATCATTTCAACATGTAACCATATTTAAGCATTACTGGTGAAATATCTTACTTTTTTTTTTTTTTTTTTTTACACTAAGTCTATAGACAAGCTATGTTTCTTTCAATACTCAATAGTCACATGTGGCTAGTGGCTACCCTGTTCAACAGTGCAGATCTAGGTACTCCTGGGTTTCAGAAATAATATTTGCATATGGAGCAGCTGACAAGCTATTTCCTGGTGTTCCCATGAACTGGTTACAGTGCTACACCTACCCGCACTGGAGAATTTGCCAAATCACTACCCGAGGGGATTTTTATTCAGGACTTTTTTCCCATTTGCTAGGAAATATAAAATATTCATTTTGAAATAAAATATTCCTTGGAGTTTTTAGGTACATTTCAGATATTAGCTCCCATCATTATTTAAATAAGTCTCTATAGCTAGATAATCAAGTGTACAAAACTATAAGGCTATTTTCTTTTCGCAAACACATCTGATTCTAGAGCTCTGGCAGTGCTCTGTTACGTGACTCTGATTTCTTCTGTCCCCCTCTCCAAAGTGGCAGGTGCCCACCCTCTCCTGGCCATGTACACCCTCCGCAGAAACCACCACTCTTGGCCTTGACTACTGTAAGAAAGTACTATGAAATTCTGATTCTTTTAACTGGAATTATACATTTAAAATCTACTTCACATGAGGCAAGTATTGGGTAAGTATTTGCCTATGCATTTTCTCACTTAATTTTCAGCCTTACATTATTATCTCCATTTTATAGTTTAAAGAAATTGAGTTTCTGAAAGCTAAGTAACTTGGCCAGTGTCACATTGCTAATCACTCTACATTCCTTTAAAAGTTGGCATTGGGAGACCGATAGTCTGAACCAATTTACAATGTTGATGGCATTATAAATTGATTCAATCTTTTCTGAGATTAACTTGGCAATGTTTAACAGCAATAAAATGGTCCATGTCCTTTTATACAATTATTTTGGAATTTATTCTGAGAAAATAATATACACATGTCCTCCTGTATACTTTAAGCCATTTCCAGATTACTTTTACTACACTCACACATCAAGTTGTGCAAAGATGTTTATGACAGAGAATTATCCATGATTGCCAAAAAAAATTAAATACCCCAACTTTTTTACTCATTTAACAAATATTTATTGAATACCTGCTATGTGCTAAGCAAGGATTCAGCAGTAGAGAAAAAAATTAAAGAACAAAGATGATCACTGCTTTCATGAAGAAGTTTCATGTACAATTAAGAGTGCAACGGAAGAGTGAATAATGAAAGCCACGTACATAATGTTGAATTGTCTAGTAGTCTAGTAGCTACATTAAAAAGGTAAGAAGAAGAAAGAAAAATTACTTTAAATCATATATTTTATTTAACCCAATATATTCAAACTATTATTTCAACATATAATCAAACATAAGAAATCAATTAATAATATAGTTTACATTCTTTCTTTCATATTAAGCCTTAAAAATCTGGTGGCTATTTTACACTTAAAGGACATCGCAACTTGAACACCAAATTTTCATCAGAAATACTAAATTTGTATTTACATTTTATAAAATATACTGTTAAAAATAGATTCACATAACCCAAGTGTTCTAAACATATTTAAAATTTTCCAAATAAGTCAATCAAATATCAAAAATAATTTTTTTCTTTTTGTTTTTTTGAGACAAAGTCTTACTCTCTCGCCCAGGCTGGAGTGCAGTAGCATGATGTCTGCTGGCTGCAACCTCCACCTCACTGGTTCAAGTGATTCTCCTGCCTCAGCCTCCTAAGTAGCTGAAATTACAGGCATGCACTACTATGCCCTGATAAATTTTTTTGTATTTTTAGTAGAGAAGAGGTTTCACCATGTTGGCCAAGCTGGTCTCAAACTACTGATCTCAGTTGATCCATCTGCCTTGACCTCCCAAAGTGCTGGGATTACAGATGTCAGCCACCATGCCTGGACCCAATTTTCTTTTAATATTGGCATCTTCATTGGCCAAAATAGCTCATCTTTTTTTAGAAGAAAAAGCATATCCATTTTCAATAAAGTTTTGTCCAAGTTAGGTAAATTCACTAAGTCTTGGGTCAATTCAGTCTCATTGGCATGAATTCAAAGGAATAATATATAAAAATAGTAAAACAATTCTAAATTTTATCAATATGAACAAAATGTCTTTCTAGTTTTTCTTGTTTTTGTAATCAATTTACATAGTACTCCGGACCCTCCAGAGGATATGAAAATCTACGGCTGCTCAAGTCCCTGATATAAAATGAAGTAGTATTTGCACACAACCTATGCACATCTCCTGTACACTTTAAGTAATTTCTACATCACTTTTAATACCTAATACAATGAAGATGCTTGCAAATAGTTGTTTTACATTGTATTGTTTTTAAATTTGTATTACTTTTTATTGTTGTATTGTGATTTTTATTCTTTCCCAAATATTTTCTATTTATTATCCATTGAATCTGCAGATGACACTGTAAGCTGGTTCAACCTGAGAATATAGGCCAACTGTACTTTCTTTTTTGGCTTTTAAACTTTGTTTTATGTGGCAAGAACACTTACCATGAGATCTACCCTCTTAATAGGTTTTTGTTTTTTGTAGAGGGAGACAGAGTCTGGCTTTGTCATCCAGGCTGGAGTGTGGTGGTATAATCACAGCTCACTGCAGTCTTGAACTCTTGGAACTAAGTGTTCTTCCCGCCTCAGCTTCCTGAGTAGCTAGAGCTATGGATATGCACCATTACACCTGGCTAGCTTGTTGCGTGGTTTTGGTATTTTCTTAGGGTTTCTTGTTTTTGGTTTTTCTTTTTTTTTGTTTTTGTTTTTGTTTTGTTGT